CATGCATTTCAAATTTCGTCTAGACAAAGACTAAAATATCAACCAGATTAATTAAATATTACTGGTAGAAGGTTATTACAAGAATACCACATGTATGCACACAGACAGTATAGCAATTATATTGACCAACACATAGTGGAAGTAGACTCAGCCTTATACTGTTATAATTAAATGAGAGATAACGACCTCAAATGCCAGCAAAAGTATTTTATGAGATTATTTACACTCAGCGAAGGAATTCTATTTGTCTCACAATTTACATTTCTGCTGCGTCAGATATAAACAAAGAAAAGTGTAAACATATGAAGCACATTTTCCAAATATGGTAGATGTCTGTAACACTTGCAAACATGTCAAAAATTAGTATTAACATGTAATCTTTATAAACCATACTGACCTGCCATTGCTGGAACACTTTACCGTCTACGTTCTCCTTATCACCATGCAGTAAACTGATCAAATCCTGCCCTCCACACTGTCCCCATACTTTACTAGCACATGGTGATTTCTCTGGTGTTAATACATCTGTAATCTTAGGTGACCCAAGAACCAAATTTTTGCTATAGTTGCCGACATTCTTTAATCCAGTAGTCGTTGAGAAATAGGAGTCGTTGTCTGATTTGAACCACTTTGCTGGGTTCTTCCACTTAAGCATAATCTTAACAGCAGATAAAGGATTTACTTTTATTTACTTAGACCAATCACTGTAATATCAGAAAAAAAAGACATAAATCAGAATTCAAGGTAATATTGACATGTGTATTACATGAAGTTGCTCAAAGATTTGCTTTCACTCTACTCGCTACACAGTACTACCGTAGTAATCAGTGATTTCACTGAGGCATATACATCTCAATATATGCCTCATTAGTCTTGCTTTTTCTTCAATTTTCAGCAGAATACAATCCAGGGTTGCCAGGGTTGCCTTGCACGTGGACTATTATATGAATTGTATTATTACCCAACCAATAATAAATATGAACGCAACATTTGTTTACCCTAGACTTGAAACCAATTTTAATGACAAAACAGACCCCTATGCCTTGTGACCAGCAAGGTACATTATTTTGTAAACCATAATACAAGAAAAAGAATTCCCCACTTTGCTGATTGTTGAAACATGACCAAGAGTCCACTAATCTTTTACATTCAGTAATCATGTAATTTACCTAATTAACTATAATATACCGGCATATGTTCGCCATGCTTTGGGAAAAAAACACAGACTGCCTTCCCAGAAAATAAAATAATTGGGAGTCTGATATATTACATATATGCACCATAGCTGTAGAAAACAAGCATACATGATTATACATATACTAGCATACAATGTAAAAGTTGTCGCTAAGTGATACTAACACACAAAACTTTAATACAGATAAACATAAAAAGTTCCATCAAATTTTGTATCTCTGAAATTGAAACATATAATTTTATTGATTTTTTTTATTGATGTGATTGTGTTTTTTATTGATTGCATTCATAAGACGCTGACATAACTGTGGTGTAAGCAACTATACATAATGCATATTATGTACCATGAAGCATGGAGCTCTTTTTTTAGCTCCATGCATGAAGGTATTATAGCTCCACGATTGTATGTACAGAGAAACCCTATAGTCCCTTGTCCACACCCAGGGTTCAAAGAACTCACATATACATGTACATTAATGATTCCAATCCATCTTAACATTATGCAAGAATGTTATATGGGAAAATATATCTTTGAAAATAATAAGAATATTTTAATAAATAAGTTAGTATTACACAAGATTTGGTTATTTAAACTGTGAAGTAAAGACTAATCTAGACTGTGAACCGACCCAAATCAAGCTATACCAATACTACATAGCTGCATTGTATCATAGACCCTCTTTTAGAGGGTCTATGATTGTATGTACCTTTTTCAAGCTTGCGTAGCTGAACGGCAAACATACACACACAAGTTGATAAAAGAGCCGAATTAACAGAACTGTGTGGCCATGTAGAAATTACAACATACATGTAATACACTAATGTATACTGGACAGCATTTACGGATTTAAATTCAACAACCTGAAGGAAAATTTATTTTCACTGGAGTTTACCGGTAGACAACATAATTGCCTCACACGAATTGCATACAAAAATTTAAGTGAAAAAGTAATCAATCTGCAGTAATTTTATGCAGAGACAGAAAACAAACATATAATGTTCATTACGTCATGGTATACAATACAAAAACCAATTACTTTTCACTAAAGTGAACACAATGGAATAGGAAAGCAAACCTACCAAGAATGACAAGAGCACTGTTATCGGAACACAATTATAATGTATACACAAAGCGGTCCAGCTGTACCCGCACATATACCAAGACATCAAATGCTACGCTGTGTTGCAAACACACGCTTATACCATGGAACTACATATGACAAGTTACACTAATTTGCATAACTATAGCAGTGTGCATTGTTAACACTCCCCTTATTTATGCAGAACAACAAATGACCATTCTTTGCAGCCTACCAGCTCAATGCACATTGTGCATTGTTCAAGTTAACACCTCATTATTACATAGTAACAGACAATACCCCCCAGCTACAAAATGACTCTTTTTATATACAGGTCAACCTGCATCTGATCAAGATATAAATCTTCAAAGATTACATACAGGTGAATGATTGTGACCAAATTTTAAGTATTGACAAATGGAATCCATTTATTACATTTTTATATTTATAAATTTATCAATTAAAACTGAAACAAGAGGTTTCAATTGGCTGATGGGATAACATTGAAACATTTACACAAATTTTCAATTAAAATCATCAAGCACTGTTCTTGCTTATTGATTGGCTTGTTGGATCTAACTGCCATAATAACAAATATATTTCATCTTTAGAAATACTCCATCAGAATAATGTAGCAACAAAAAATAAAAGAAAAAGTGAAGTTTATAAATATTTATAAAAATGAGGGGAATGGGGTAGTTGTGCTGTTACTACCCTTATGGGGGGGGGGACCTGCATTACGGATGATATACTAAGGAAAGAATTTGTAATTTGTGTGAAGACAAGGATATTGGTGATGAAATACATGCATTATTGATTGGTTTGTAAGAATCAAAGGTTAATAACTAGTCGTACACAATTTATTTATACTTTGTCATTGTATAATGATAGTCTACTAACATTATCAGAACAAAACATGTTCAAACAAATTTTAAGTTCAAATGATGGTTTCATTACCAACAGCCTGGGAAAATTCATCAATGATATTTTAACAGAAAACAAAAATTAAACTTTTAATATTTAACATTTTTCTAACATTTATTTTATATTTTTACAGTGTTTGTTTATTTGTTATTTGTTTGTGTAAAGTAATGTATATTGGCCATAGATTATGTATTTTCCATGCATTTTTTTGTGTCAAATAAAATATACTACTATACTAATACTTTATACTTCCATGATGAGACTGACAGACAGTTGACTGAGCATGTTCTGAGTATATTCGCCATGCATGTACACATTTTTCATATAAATTATACAGAATTTACTTCAATCAAGACATTGGAATATCCCAAAGTACAAGTCAAAACTAACAAATATTTACTAAAAAAAACTTCAATCCAAATTTCCAAACTTGACTAAGCATAAAAATAATTCAAATGATACACACAAGATTTGTTTCCAACTGTCAACCTTTAAGAGTATTTATAGCATAAATGATATAACAACATCTACCTCTATGCTATACAGGATACTGTAAACAAAGTCTGCTGATATGACTGTTCTGGCCTTATAACACCGGTTATTAAGCTCCTATAGGCATCAACTACGCCATTACTTCTTGCCTGCCTGGGCATTTAAAACACCCTAATACATGCCGGTGTAGAAACATCACAATGAACCATTGTCAACAATTAAATAAAAACCTTGAATTTCAACTGAAATGTACTCACCCTTTGCACAACAGACTTTTATACTAATGGTATACTACGAAACTTGAAAAAGATAGAAATAAGAAGAGAAGAAGACATTACAAGACAACTAATCCGATCTCTAACTGCCAAGTAGTTCAAATTTTTACATTTTGCCGCCACACAAGTGACGCTAACCTAGTGACCTTACAAATAATCATGGTGGTGTCCATCACCAAGGTCTTCACGCCCACAAAGTGCATTCTGATTGGCTACTGTGTGGGTTGGGTCACATTTCAATATGAATGGCCTCTCACAGTGTTTTCACAATGAGGCCCAGGCAGAAGTCTGGCACATTTTTGTACATATCACAGTAGTAACTGTGTACAGATGCAGTGAAAATTATATCACATTACGTGAACTTATGATCACTATAATCTAAATACAAAAAAGAAAAATAATTTCACTGATTGGAGTGTATTGCATATGCAAAATGTATGTTGTTGGGTGAGTAGTAGTAGTGTATACACTCCACAGAAAAATAAGGGATATGCAGTGTTTATGTTTTCTCATTAGCGAAAATGCTACAAAGATAAACATTTTGTAAGGGGTGGATCATTTGAAACTCCTTTCACGTATTTCTGCAAATTGTTTGTTTCTACATGGAAATTGCTGTGTTTTTTTTCTTTAAATGTGAAATATTTTTTTTATTTATTCAATGGTTCAAAATTATTCATGTTTGTTATTGATTCTTTGAAGATTTTTTCCAGGATTACTTTGTAGAATGGTATTTTTTTTAACAATCATCACTAAAACATTGTATAAGCCGTTATTGTATAAATAAATGCAGATCCAAGTACAATCTTAATCATTGTCCATACTGTAAAATACTTTATTTTCGGTGAAAATAAAATTCAGCAGATAAACACTTTTTCTTATATTTTACATTCAACTCATAAAAAATCAGTGAAAATAAATTCCATTCAAAAAACCCCAAAAGTCTATTCAGCAAAAATTAATTCCAGCTAAAATAAATTATTTTACAGTATAAATCAGAGTACACTCACTTTATCATTTCAATTGGCCTCAAACATTTGCACAAAAAATAACGTATAATAACAGAGCAAGTGGTCAAATAGAAAAACTGAAAATATAATAACACTTGAAAACTCTTAATGTCACTTGAACAAAATTTACTACACTTATGCATACAGTACTGCTCATGTCATTGTACAGTGACTTACCATTATATGTTTAGGGATGTTTTACACTATTTTAGGATATGATGACAAACAACTCAAAATTATACATTAAGAATAAAGTCCCTTAATTGCCATCCATGTTCACACATAGCCACAATTTCTATGGTGCAAATCATCTGCTGACAAAAGTCTTCTTGTTTCGGACGATTGAATTGCTGACCCCAAAATTCATTTGACAAGCTTAGAAGAGTCCTTTTGTGGCTGTCAATAGACTATCTACACAATCATGTGCTATGTCCCCTAGATTATGGGCAATCAGGTCAGCTATTATGAAAAAAGTGAAAACAAACAAATTATGGAAGTAGGCAATCAGGTCAGCTATTATGAAAAAAGTGAAAGCAAACAAATTTCAGAAGATAACTGATGCATGCATCTCATTTTTTAGAGTTATAGGAAGATAGCAAGTACTTACTACAGCATAATCAGAACTCAAATGAATTTTAGTCAAAGACCCAATATGAATAAAGTTTTAAAAAAATAATCATAATT